TTCCAGGTCCCTTCCAACTCCAAACATTCTGTAATTCTGTGTGTAGCCTTTTTGATCCTCGTCGCTCTCATTTCACTGTTAGCCTCCTGCTCGTGGCCTCAGGACCCCAACAGGCTCTCTGTGGCCTGTTTCTCTGCCTTGGGCTGTATCTGCCCAGGGCGCCCTTCACCATCTCTGTCCTGGATTGATCCTTTAGGTGATCCTCACGAGGTGGAAGCTCAGAGAGTCCAAGCCAGAGTGAAGGCTAACAGGGCTCTAACAGGGCTGTAACTGAACCCCCCTGTCACTGTGGCTGTTTTCCTTCAGTGGGAAGGGCGTGGTGCCCACCCCTGGCACCCAGGAGTCTGCAGGAGTCAACGTGGAGGATGGTGTTTGTTACTGGGACCCTTATGGCATTGAACCTCAGTCCCAGTTTCCCTCTGGAAGAGGCTGGATGAGAGCTGTGTCTGCAGGGCCTTCCTTTCTAATTCCTGGTACAGAGAGGTGGCCTTTCCCTGGAGGTGAGAAGACCACTCAGTGTGGCAGGAGGCGAGTGAGTGGGTTTGTGCCTCCACAGAAGCTGCTGGAGCCTGTGCCCCATCAGGACAGCCAGGAGCTGCATGCGGGGTTTTTTCCACCAGCTGAGAGTGTTTTTTGAACAGTGAGCCAAGAGCCAGAGGGCCTCTGGCCTTCGCTGCTCCTCACTCTGCGCCATAAGGCAGAGGATCTGAGGTTGTGGTGATCTCCTCAGCATGCTCCTCCTGGCAGCTCCCCCAGAACTGGTGGGCAGTAACCAGAGTCCTCTCTGGGCCTCTGTGCCTGGTGCCTTGCTCGTACGGGGACCAGAATGTGTCTCAGTGGTGTTCGTGTCTCTTCTCTGCCCCACAGGTGGACTAGGAGAGAGCAGGCAGATTTCTACCGCACTGTCTCCTCCTTTGGGGTTATCTATGACCAGGAGAAAAAGATCTTTGACTGGGCCCAGTTCCGAGCCATCTCTCGACTGGAGAAGAAGACAGATGAGAGCCTGGAGAAGTACTTCCACAGCTTTGTGGCCATGTGCAAGAATGTCTGTGGTCTCCCACTGTGGAAGGAGGACGGTGAGTGGAAATTGCATGGCCTTTGGTGGGTAATGGTAGGTGCACGTAGCCATAGGGCAGCAATGGTCCTGCTGCTCTCATGGAGCAGGAGAACAGTGGAGGAGTTTCAGGGACCGCTGGAGGCAGCAAGATGCCCAGCAGACTGGGGGCTTGCAAAAGCCACGTGCATTTCCTCATCCCCACCATGTACCACCCCCCAGCACTGGGAAGGCAGGGCAGCCCTGTGGGCTCCAGCCCCTGCTCTCACAGCTCTCACAGAGCTCTCCCTTGCAATCACAACCAGTTTTATCCAAGACAGCAACCTCTAGATGTGAGGGAGGAGAAGTAGAGAAGCAGCAGATCACATCTCCTCCACACTGGAGCTGGGGGCTGTTTGGGTGATCTGTATCAGTGCTTGCTTTCCAAGCATCTCTGCTGGCACTGGACAGAGCGTCCCGTCAGGGAACGTCTGGGAAGTGTGGCCAACACACGGGGCATCCCTTTTATCGGAGTGCCCTGCAGAGCTCCAGTGCATTGGCACTGTGCAGGACATGGCAGATTGAAAGATGCATGGAGGCTGTTTGAGCACTAAGTGATTTGCTTCTAACAACAGCAGAAAGGATTTAATCTCAGACCTTTCAGGAGGTCTGGCATCAGGCACAGCTCCTTGGATGCGTGTGTTAATGCCTTAGGTAGGTGTTCCTCATCAAAAGAGCTGCCCTTCCCTGAGAACCCGCTGAGGGACTTCCAGAGGCCCAGACCCCAGAGAGCTGCTCTGCCGGCAGGTCCAGGCAGGTCCAGCGCGGCTGATGCTGATGGAGCAGAGCCTAGACATGACTCTGAAATCCTCTGCAGCCCAATGCTGCTCTTGGTCCAGCCGCTAAAGCGGAGGGAGTTCACTCCCATGTGTCCAACTGGTGGCAAATGAATAGAAGGTGGTGAGACTGGAATAAGCAGCCTGAGCAGTGGCTACCAGCGCTCCCCCCCTCACCTGCAGTCTGAGCAGGAGTTAAAACTCCCCTTGCTCATCACTTCCTCTGAGTAACTCTCCTCAACCTGTGTAATGGGGCCTCGGCTTTTCCACCCCTCCTGCAGGTCCCCCAGACCCTGACATCTACGTGGAGCCCATCACAGAGGAACGTGCTGCCAGAACCCTCTACCGCATCGAGCTGCTGCGAAAGGTGCGCGAGCAGGTGCTCAAGTGTCCGCAGCTCCACGAGCGGCTCAAGCTGTGCCGGCCGAGCCTCTACCTGCCGGTGTGGTGGGAGTGTGGCAAACACGATCGGGACCTGCTGATCGGCACTGCCAAGCATGGCCTGAACCGCACTGACTACTACATCATGAATGACCCCCAGCTGTCTTTTTTAGATGCATACAGGAACTATGCCCAACATAAAAGAATGGGGCTCCCAGGCCCAGAAACACTGTGCTGCCTTTACCAGACTAACTCCAAACTCTACAGTTCTCCCCTGTACAGCCAGGTGGACCAGGCTTGCGAACCTCTGGAGAGTGAAGTGAAGAGTCAGATCAAGCTGGAAACTGTAGACAATGCCGTGTCCCAGGCTGGGGGCAGTCTGCCAGATGCGAACTGTGAAACGTTCATGTCTAAAGTCCAGGACATAATTTCCAGTAACTACGATGAGAGCTCTCTGCCAGACTCGCTGGTGTGCATGATGTACGATGAGAAGGCCTGTAACAGCGAGCAGAGCTCCCTTGCCCGGGACAGCCCAAGCTGCACGGATGTTGGAAGCAGCATTGCCAAACTCTCTGAGGGCAAGCTGGAGGGGTATGAGGATCCGTCCAGCTGTGATGCAGATGCCATGAGAGAGACTCCCTTCCTAGAGGGTTTGCAGGTGGGCTGTGACCGGATGGACAGTCAGAATGAGGAGACTGAGCCTTCACCTTCTACCCCCGAAAGCGACCCTTCACGGAGGGTCCCGGCAGAGCTCTGTGAAGCCTTGCAGCAGAAGGGAGACCTCACCAGCCCTGCGCCAGTGCTGCCCGAGCACAGGGCCGTGGAAAGGGTCATAAGCATGGGGCTCTACCGTCCCGGTCTTCATAACTACGAAATAAAGGTTCCTTCTGAGCAGAGATTCATCAGTCTGCTACAGGAGAAAGGAATGGAGGCAAAGTCAGGGCCAAGTCAGAGCCACAGCGAGGAAGATGAGGAGGAAGAAGAGGACGATGATAACTCTGAGGCAGCAGCATCTGTGGAAGGCTTGAGCGGCCCCAGGACCAGGGCTGGTTGTGACCCCGAGGCTAATGAACTAGGGGGTGAGGAGCAGAGCTCTGGCCTCCCCACTCCTGAGGACACGTGCCCAGAAGACGTGAATGGCGAGAGAGAGTCCCTGGGGCTGGGAATGCCCGAGGGCCTGGGAGAGCCCGGGCCAGAGGGCAGGGAGGACCGCGGCCTGGACGAAGAGAGCACCCTGCAGCACTCCCCTGGCCAGGCTCAGGACCAGGCGTTCAGTCTGCTGGCACCTGAGACCCACTGTGCCGGCAAGGCGGGCTGGGGCCGAGGGGCCGAGGGACAGGCAGGCTGCAGAGGGGCCCTGCACCCTGAGTCCCAGGGAGTGAAGCAAGAAGAGTGTGAGAACAGAGACGAGGGAGAGAAAGGCAGCAGTGGCCAGAGTCAAGGTACGGTCGTGAGAGCTCCCTCGGGTGGTGTTCACCTCGGCTGGGCAGGGAGGGACCTGCTGTTTCCTCTGCAGACCCCAGAGTGGCCTCCCCTCTGTGGGAGCTGGGGTTCCTCAAGCTGACGTGACCCTGAAAGGTCAGTGGGTATGTTTGGCAGAACCCTGTCCTGAGCCCCAGCAGCCCTCTGCCATGAGCATCCCCTGGAGCACAGGACGCCCTTCCCTGCTGGGCGTGGGGCACTGCCTGCTCAGCAGCTCCTTCTGGAAACAGGGGTGCCCTCCTCCTCCTCACCCGCCCAGGGTATGGAGATGGTCAGGCGTGGGGGTCACTGCAATGCGAGCACCCCAGACTCAGCCTATGGGGGTGCTGGTCCTTCCTGAGCAGCATGGGCTACCTGTCCTCACACAAGGCTGCTGCATTTCTTGCATTTCTTGCTGGTTGAGGAATGGGAGCTTTGTGGAGCCAGCTGGGCACTGTAAGGAGTTGCTCCCGCCTCGAGAGGAGGAGAGGGCAATGATCAGCTCTGTGCTCTGCTGCTTTCTCAGATGGTCCAGAAAAGGACTTGGAGGAAGAGAGCAAGAGTTCTGCTTCTGTCCTGCCTGGGGAGATTGATGACCTTCAGGATGCCAGGGCACCAACCATAGCGCAACTGCTGCAGGAGAAGACACTTTACTCCTTCTCGGAGTGGCCTAAGGTGAGTTTAAAATTAACGTTCACAGAATGTCAGGAGTTGGAAGGGACCTGGAAAGCACCCCCAGTGCAACCCCTGCCAGAGCAGGATCACCAGAGCAGTCACACAGGAACACGGCCAGGGCTTTGGGTGTCTGCAGAGAAGGAGACTCCACAACCTCTCTGGGCAGCCTGGGCCATGCTCTGCCACCCTCACCCTGACAAAGTTTGGCCTCATCTTCAGCTTGAACCTCCTGTGCTCCAGCTTGGGACCATTGCCCCTTGTCCTGGCACTGGACATCCCAGAGCAGAGCCTGGCTCCTTCCTCCTGACACTGCCCTTTCCAAATGGATCCCCATGAATGGGGGCACCCCTCAGTCTCCTCTGCTCCAAGCTCAAGAGCCCCAGCTCCCTCAGCCGCTCCTCAGCAGGAGATTCTCCACTCCCTCCAGCATCTTTGTGGCCCTGCTGGACTCTTTCAAGCAGTTCTTGTCCTTCTTGACCTGAGGGCCCAGAACTGGACACAGGATTGAAGCTGTGGTGTGAGCAGGGCAGAGCAGAGGGGCAGGAGAACCTCTCTGCCCTACGACCACCCCTTCTTATGGGGTGGTTATTCTCTGGGCTCAGCTCTCCACGCAGTTCTTAACCCAGCAAAGCATATGCCCATCCAAGCCATGCCCAGCAGCTTCTCCAAGGGGATACAGTAGAAACGCTGTTTGTACTGCAAATGTTACTGCGGAGTCCTGACAGCAGTGGCTCGCACGGCCCCACCTCTGCCTCCTGCTCTTCCACACACAGCTCCCCATGGATGCTCTAACTGGGGTGCTCTTCACAAGCACTGGTGCCGTGGATGTGCCTGCCCCAGAGCAATTCCCAACCGAGCTGAGGTCACCAGGGCTGGGTTTGTCATTAGCCCTGAGATGACGTACACGAGTCAGTCTTTCGAGTCCCAACCTACCATCGCCCGATTCTGTTTGCAGGACCGCGTGATCATCAGCCGCATTGACAACATCTGCCACGCCATCCTGAAAGGCAAGTGGCCTTCCTCCAACCATCAGTTTGAGACGCAGAGCCTGCTGACGGCTCCAGCGGTTGCCAGCAGTGCCGGCAGCAGGAACAGCTTTGCTGACTCAGAAGCCCCTGATCCCAGCTTCAGTAACGGGGTGTTGATCTCACAGGTACAAAAGGTGAGGGTGCCCTCGGGCAGGGACAGGCTTGGGACTCTGGGGTGAAGCATTGCCCAGAAGTGCTCAGGAGTTTCCCAAGCGGGGCATGGGTTTTCACTGCCTCTTGGTGCCACTTGTGGTCCCCTTCACCGAGGGCTCCTGGTGAAGGAGGGCTCTCAGCCCCCTGCCAGCCCTTCGCCCCTCCCAGGAAGGGGACTGTTCTGTGGCAGCTCCGCAGCTCCTGTGGCTGCAGAGGAGCTCCCAGAGCCAGCACTGGAGCACTTGCTCAGTGGGGAAAGGGGTCACTGCCCTGGTGTCCCAGAGCAAAGAGTGCAGGAGAGGGTACTGCTGCCTCTTATCACCTCGCTGTTGGACACGGCGTGGAGACAGAAGCTGCTGGCCTGGAGCCCCAGCCCGGCTGCCCAGCAGCTGGTGGAGCACCTGAGGTTAGAGTACATTGGGAGGTCCACGTGTATGTGGGGGTGCTCCTGCACTGACCCCACACAGAGAAAGAGCGGTGTAATGTGCCCAGGGAATGGGCGTCCTTCGGGGCTCCTGCGGAGAGGCAGAAAGGCCTGACTGTTAGCGTGGTTTTTGCTTGAAGTGCTGTGGTCCCTGGGCAGGACATGAGCATTCGTAACCCTCTCCGTGGTTTTGATACACACAGGAAGGATTCCTGACCCCTGCCTTTGCGAAGGACGAGCGGAAGCACAGGAGGCCCTATGAATTCGAGATGGAGAGAGATGCCAAGCAGAGGAGCTTGGAGCAGCTGGCAGCAACCCCTGTTCATGCACCCATTGCACTGAACGGCTGGCGAGATGCGGCTGTGGACTTGTCCAGGGCCTCTGATGGGTCCCCAGGGAGCTCCTCTCCTTTCCCACTGAACACAAATGTGCCCAAGCTGGGGTCTGCGAACACCCTCCAGGGCTCCCTGGGCATGGACTTGTCTGGCATCCTCCAGGCAGGGTTAATCCATCCTGTCACGGGCCAAATTGTCAATGGCAGCCTCCGAAGAGATGATGCCGCCATGAGGAGGAGACGGGGCAGGAGAAAAAATGTAGAAGGGATGGACCTCATCTTCTTGAAGGAGAGGCCTCTTCCAACCAGGCTGCAGGTGGGTTGATGCTCCCCCCTTTCACATGGCCCCGGATTTGGCTCGTGGTTCAGCTCTCTCCTACAACCTCTGCTGCCCATGCCAATGTGGGCCCTCCTCCAGGACAGTTTGCCTTGTGCTGGAGCAGGCAGGAGCGGACACTGCTCCAGCAGGAAGGGAAGTTCTCCCTCTGGCTCGCAGCACTCTGGAGTGCTTGAGTGCCGATAAGCGTTATCACAAGCAGGTGTCCCACCTCGGGGGGTGTCTGCTGTTAGAGTACATGAGGAAATGTCCTTGACTGCACTGGAACTGTGGCCAAGAGCCTGCTGCACCCTTTCTTGTTCTGTCATGGGATCCCCTCAAAGAAGAAGGGGACCCTGGGAGCAAGGCCAGTCCCTCCAGACCACTTTTAGGAGTGATCTGAAGGGAAGTTGGTCTTTGTGGGGATGTGGGTGTTTCCAGGTGGGTTCAGAAGTGTCTCCCAGCTCTCTTCTCCGTGCCGCCAGTGCTGGGGACTGAGTGGAAGTGCAGTGCAGTGGTGGGTGGCGATTTAACGAAGAGGCAATGGGGATATATGGATTAATCTGTATGATGGGAGCAATGACCCGCTTTGGGAGCTCTGCTTACCTGGGTGCTCGTGCATCACCGCGTGCTGCTGATGGGTTCTTCCTGCTCCTTCCTCCACGCCAGGACGTTCAGGAGGACCAGACGCAGCCCCCCCAAAACAGTCCCCTCCCCGATGGGCCGGTTGCTGCTACCTCAACTCCACAGCCAGTCCCAACTGTAGGCAGCCAGGCTGAGAAGGCTGTCCCAAACAAGAGTCTCCTCGACTGGCTCCGTCAGCAGTCCGACTACACACTCGACGTTCCCGGCTTTGGCACAGTAAGGGTGGCCTTCAGTGGCCTCTGTGTGTGTGTCTGCCTCGTGTGTTGTCTTTGTGTTAGGTTTTCTGCGGTTGCTCTTGAGTTCAAGGCTTCCACAAAGTGTCTCGAAATGCAGCCTTTTTCCCTGTGCCATGGCACATAGTGTTCACCAGGGCTGTGTGTGTGGGAGGTTCCTCACACCTTTGGGAGGTGGGCATGGTTCCAGGTACAGCAGTGAAAGGCACCTGCTGAGCTGCCTCCTCCTGCCCCAGGGTCCGTTCTCCAGCTCCAGTGTCTGTCTGCCCTGTGCACAATCAGTCCAGTGTCTTCCAGAAGCACCAGGGATGGGGAGAGAAATGGAAAAAGGGATTTGGGACGCTTAGGGTCTGTCTGCATTGCTTCCCTTCACCTAGGGTCATTTTAGGCAGTGCTGTTGTATTAAATAAGGTTCCCAGACAGGAGGAAACATCTTTGCTGTACAAACTGGCCTGGACTGGCCGTGTAGCAGGCTGCAAAGGCTGTGGTTGCATGGCTGCGGGTACCTTCAGAAAGCAGAGCGACAGGAAGTGGAGTACAAAGTCTGTCTGATTCTTCTTGCTGTCTCATAAGCATCCACCTCTTGGTTTTGCAGGTTGGTTTGCTCCAGGTTTCAGCTTATTTAGCCTCTTAGACCATGTGGTAGGCAGAACACAGGCTGTAAAACAGAGTAAGGACAACAGAGTAGGGTGATAATATGTGAAAGACTTCATCTTGGACCTGGAGGACTGTGTGCCTGAGGCAGGGATTCCCAGCCTGGTCACACCACTGGTCATCCTTTTCCTGCCAGCAAGCCCCCAGTGCAAGATTCCCCTTCCAGGGCAGGTGTCTTCTCTCCAGGTAGGCCGGGTTGAAAGCTGCTTGGAGGTCCTGCAACAGCTCAGCCACTTGAAGCACATACCAGCTCAGGGACTTTTCTTTGTCTCTCAGGAACCAGAGACTGCAGTTGTTCATTGTGGTGCTCCGTGCCTGCAGGCACTTTGATGCTGGGTCTCTCAGCTGTACCTCTGTAGGTTGTGGTCCTGAAGGGCTCTGAGCCCAAAGAAACACAGCACTGCTGTGCTGCGATGGAAACGGCTGAAACAGGAGTGAAACAAAGCACAGAGGAGCTGGCAAGAAGCAGGACTGACATGAGAAGGCACACACAGACCCGTTCTAGTTGTATTTAGTGCCTTGCTTACAGATGTGCATTTATGACTTGGCAGCAGGTTACAGTTTTAGGACTGGAGAGGCATCAGAAAGGGCTGGGGCAGTCTAAGTGCAGCACACTGAAAACTCCTTTAAACCTACAGAAATAATTTGTGCTTGTTTGAGAGCTGGCGCTGAGCAGAGCCAGCTTGTGCCTCTCGCACTGCTCCTGCCCAAGTCTGCAGGGACCCTGTGTCCCTCGGGAGCTCATCTGTGCCTGCTGCTTGCAGCCATCCGGGCTCATTAAGCCGTCTGGTCTCATTAACATTGTCTTGTTTGCACTCCAGAATTTTTCAGACAAGCCCAAGCAGAGGAGGCAACGCTGCAAGGACCCCAGCAAATTGGACATTAACTCACTTACGGGAGAGGAGCGGGTGCCTGTGGTACATAAGGGTACCGGACGGCGGGTAAGCGAAGGCCTGTTCAGTGCTCTGCTCTGGCTGTCTGGAAATGCTCAGCAGACCCTGAGCTCACCCTAGGGGGAGATTTAAACCAGAGACGCCTGTGGGTGGGACAGAAGTCGGGAACACGTCACTAATCTGCACTGTCCTGTGACACGTGTGCGCGCAGGAGACACAGACCTGTGAAATAAGTGACTTTCTGTGTGAAGCGAGGGAAGTCTGAGTGTTCACCCGTGACAGGGTGCACAGACTCCGCAGTGGCAAAGGGATTCAGCTGTTGGCTTTAAAGCCACTGTCAGCACAGCCCTGGCTGGTGCTTCCTGTTCCAGATCAAATTGCTCTCCTTGAACTCACTGCAATATGCCACAAATTGTAATATTGCCATGCAGATATCTTTGGTTTGCTCCTCCTTACGAGGTGCAGGCAGAGCCTACCAACACCCATCCAAGTGCTGGGCATGGGGAAGTGGAGGGGTTGAGGGGCTTTTTCTTGCTTACCAAACAAGCAGCATGGATTTATTTGTCTGCAGGTTAACCTCCAATGCACTGATGTTCACTTCTGAATGAGAAGAGACACTTTCCACCCAATTTCGGTTCTTAACCACACCCAGGGCTGTACTAAGTCAGAAGGTGATGTGACATCAATCACATCTAAAACCAAAACTAAAGAGTGAGGCAGAAAGAAGCTGTTTCAGCTGTATCTGTGTTTCCCTCTGTTACACCCACAATGGCTGTGGGAGACCTGGGTGAATTGGTGGGTTTGTCTGGTTCTGAGCATGGCTTTTACAGAAGCTCTGTCCCCATCACTTGTTCATGGGGAGGGCGATGGAACGGGCCACAGGGGCTGAACCTGCCTCTTCTCCCTGACCTGTGGGTCTGGAGGCCGCAGGCACACACCAAACCCTGCAGAGATGGGTAGCGAGGAAAGAGTCTCTGCCCCAGCCAAAATGCAGCCCAAAGCAAGGAGCTAGGGGAAGTGTAATCGTATTTATTGTGTTATTTTACATAACTCTTTCTGCAATAGAGGTCATCCTTCTGCTGTGTTTTGTAGTTAGGGGGAGCCACGGCACCAGCATTGAAGGAATTGCCAAGGTGGCTTGATGCAAACTTGGAGTATGCTGTTGCAGCTGACTGGGCTGACATTGTTAAGCTTTCAGTAAGTTAGAGCTTTTGGAGAAATCTGTATCATGTCATCTTTTCTTTCCTCTCCCCATTCCCACAACCTTTCTCCAGTGAGGATCTGGGAGCTGCAAGGCAGGGTCTGAGCTGCGCCTTGGGGGGTGGCTGCAGGGCCGGGAGTGCTC